TTCTTTTCAAGAGTTTTCAGGGCAGCTTCTTTCTTTGTCTCATACATTCTTGTACCAGCAGCTTCTTCAAGCATAGACAAGATTTCAGGGGGTTTCATGTTCAAGACTTTGGTGATGCGCCCTTGCATAATAAGAAAGTGTGGATTGTTTACATTTAGCTGCACAGAGTGAAAAAGATTCTGAACACGACTTGGCTGTGCAAGGTGCCCGTTGATCAAATATTTGTTCCTTCCACCAACCACAATCTGCACGTATACGATCAATTATTAATGTACACAATAGGTTAACAAATAAAAGCAGATATTTTAGAAAAGGATAAGCAGAATAAGAATTCCAGTCTCCGACTGCCTTGTTTATGACAATTCCAGGTTGGATCTTGTTATCCTCTATTTAATATAGGAATACTACCTACTGACAAATATGATATACAATAGTAAAACTCATTATAGGATTCTTCACCCATAGTCATAGTTAAGCCTGATAAGAAAGAGCAAAGCGAAGGAAAAGCAGCTGGTTCATATTACAATGTGAACAATAGAAACCCTAAAAATGTCCTGTAAACAACCCCATAAATCAGTCATGCAATCGAGTTGGTTAACAATAAATTATTTGAAAATTCACTAAACAAGAGCAAATAATAAAAGCAGTGGCATTCATTCTTCCCGCAATCAAGACACAAGCTCAATTTTTGAGTTGCACCAATTAAAAAGAAACATTTTATTTATGCTTGTTATGTCCATGGAACTCTTTCAACAATTGTACACAAATATGCAAGTTCAACTTCAAAATGAAGACTATCACAAGTAAGAATCCCATTAGCCAATTATAGGCATACATGGGCGGAGCTAGCATTTCGAATTATAGGTTAGGCAGGACCAGTAGCTTTGGCAAAGATCATGTATTTGTGTAAAAAAAAATTCACTTAAAACGTATAAATAATTCATCCGCACCCAGTAAATTGCCATTTCTAGATTCTAAAACCCATAACCTTAAAATACTGACTCCGCCTCTGTAAGCATTTGCTTTCCAAACACAGAAAAAGAAAAATGGAATGTACCTGTCGGGTAACAGTGATTTCGGTACAATCTTCATATCCCAAAGGACTTCGAGTACGGTCTGAATTATCAAACACAACGGACACCGTAGCCTTAGTGATGCCAGCTTGGCCTTGCTTGTACACTAACTCCTGTAGATTAGAAGCCCTAACCTGCTGCAAATTCGTAATCCCTAAAACGAAGCAAATTGAGTCCAAAATGTTGGATTTACCTGACCCGTTCAAGCCCGTTATGGCATTGAAAAACGGGTCGAAACCCGAGACGACTGTTCTTGTTGCGTATGACTTGAATCCCTCCAAGCAAATTTCTTTAATATACATGGTGACTACTGAGAGCAAGAAGTTCCCGGAGAGGGTCGATATCAAAACCCTAGAAAATGGAAGTGGCACAGGGCTTTGGAGATCAAAACCCTACTGAAAGAAAATTCGATGAAGATGAAATTTTGCTTCGGAGATGTGGAGTGATGAATTTAGTTCATTTTGGGAAAGCTTGTTGGACTTGGTGAAATTTAGGCGGGAAAACGGATTTTTTTGACACCTTTTCTATTTTTGAATTTAAGGGGTACCTGCGTTTTAATTTCAAAATTTATTTTTTAGTTTCATATGTACGTTATTATTTTATTCTAGTATCTCTATAATTTTTATTTTTATTTTTTTGGGTAGGGTCGACTGATTTTTGTTATGGGGATTGACTTTTTCTTTGTTTAAAAAGAACTTCTAGTAATAGGGGTTAAGGAACGGTAAGGGCAAAAGGGTAATGAGTGACAAATTAGTTACGTAATTTTTTATTTTTTTAAAATATACTAACTGTTATAAAATAAAGACCGTAAAATAAAGACAAGTATAGAGAGAAACTGATATATTATTCAAACTTCAAACTTATGTACATAATGAACTGAATTCTCCTCTATTTATAGAAGAAAGGAAGCTGTTGTGTAAGCTGCTGTGTAAGTTGCTTGTAAGCTGCTGCTGTAAGCTGCTGTGTAAGTTGCTTGTAAGCTGCTCTAAACTGTTGTGCCAGATATAGATAATCTTCTATCATGGGTAATATTTATCCATAACGGAGTACCGAAATGATAAGCTTCTTCAGGAGGCTTATTTCCAATAGAGTACTAAATAGATAAATGTATTTATGGCGGAGTCTCATATGGATAAACTTCTTCAGGAAGCTTATTTACAACGGAGTACTAAATGAACATCCATAATATAATATATTCATAACACTCCCCCTTGGATGTTCATTAAAAGATAATGTGCCTTGTTAAAACCTTACTAGGAAAAACCCCGTAAAAAAAATCCTAGTGAAGGAAAAAGAGTACACATATTTAGTAATACGCATTGCTAGCTGCCTCATTAAAAACCTTATAAGGAAAACCCTGTGGGAAAAAA